CCCACACCAGGCCCCCCACCCCCAGCACTCCACTTACCAGCACGTGCCACACCTGCTCGCTGGCCCTGCGGAAGCTGCAGAAGCGCACGCTGGCACCCAGCAGGCCTTGGCCGCCCCACATGTTGCTGGGCACCACCACCACCTCGCGCACCTTCCTGGTCTTCATGCTGAACACCTCAAGCTTCACCGGCTTCTCCAGATTAGCCTTCAGCAGCGTCCTCAGTGTGTCGTTCTCCCTGTTCTGTGGGGACAGCGGGGCTGACTCCCAGGGCACCCCCATCCCCGGCCCCAGCCCCAGGCTGGGCCACTCTGACCCGTCTGGACTGAAGATGAGGCAAAGGCCTTGGTGGCCAGCGGCCTCGTCAGGGCCTGGTGCTGAGTGGCTCAGGTCCAAAGGCTACACGTGAGCCCATGGCCAGTGCCACCCCCCAGTGCCCACCACCACCAAGCATGACCATACCCATCCTTCAGCCTACCTGGAGGACGCAAAACAAACACAGTGCCCTGGGTGCCCAGGGTTCCAGCACTGCCCCTGGCCAGGGCCCCCTCACTGCCCAGAAGGCAGCCTCTTGGGCTTTGTGGCCTGACCCACTTACACTCATACTCCCCAGCCTCCAACTATCCAGAGATCTCAGGACAAAAGAGCAAGACCCCAGTCAGCCTCTGAGAGCAGCCCAGATGAGGGGAGGAGAGGCTGAGGAGACAGGAGAAGGGCTGGGGCCCCTGGTGGCACAGACACATACATGCACATGCACACGCGCACACACAGCAGGGAAAGGGGCAGGGCTCACCAGCCTCAGGTGTCCGATGGTCAGGATGAAGTCAAAGTAGGGCTCCAGGCCAGCCTGCTGAGCTGGGGAGTTCTCCTGCACCTGTCCCACAAGAGACCCGTCACCATGCCAACCTGATACTCCCCAAGCAGCCCATCCCAACTGCCTGTCTCAGGGAGGGTACACACCCGGGGATGAGCCCTTCCCAACAAGACAGATGCTGTCAACATTCAGTCCGTGTCCTCCCCATCCTCCTTGACAGAGTTTTCCTTTAGAAAATGTTCTTTTCTGCTCCTGATCTCAGATGCATCCAGAGATGCCTGAGGAAAACCAGGCCACAAGGGCCCAGCGAACAGGAGGCGGCGGGCCTGGGGTCTGCAGAAAGCCAGAGGGCTCCCAAGTGGACGTGGAGGCAGGGAGGCCTGCGACGGAACCAGGACCTGGGAAGGCAGCCTGCCCTTCCCCGAACCCGGCTGCTTGTGGCTGTTTCCCAAATCGCCACCACTTGGCTTTACAGAGATCCACCTCTGAGGTCGGTTTACAGAGCTTTCCTGAAACACCCCAAAACCGAGGGTGGACAGGTCAGTGCTGACACACAGGCCCTCCAGGACAGAGGAGAAAGACCACACAGTCACCAAAGCAGACTGCCACATCGTTCTCACATGAGGTGACTGTGGGTTTCAAACCACTGACTTCTGGATAGAAGTCAAGTGCTGTAGTCACTGTGCCACCAGGACACTTCCCCCGACCCCAAAGCAATGAGGTCTTTATCCCAAGGTCCTAAAGCCTACACACCATCAGGCCTTTGGCTGTGGGTATTTGGGGGTCAGGCAGCAGCCAGGACCCAGCCCAGAAGCACGAGGCCCAGGTGGCCATGGAGCGAAAGTACTGTTCCCCCCGGTCCTTAATGCTTCCTTGCTGGAAAGAACGCGTGGCTTCTGCGACCCACCAGCCCTCTAGCTCTTGGGCTCCCAAACTGATGGTGGTGACGGGGGAACGCTGTGAGCAGAGGTGTCACTAAGAACAGACCTGTGAGTATGAAGGAGAGATGCCTGGGCTCTGGGTGAAAGCTGCTCAGCCCTGAATGAGGACGCCCTCCTGACAGCATCACCACCGAGCACTCCAGGTTCACCTCCACAAGGAACCCACAAACACTTCAGCAAGAGGAGCTGGCCTGGCCCAGATGGCTTCCCACGGGGGCCCAGCCCTGCTCCCTGCACCTCCAGAGAGGAGCTGGAGTCGGGTCTTTGGAAAACCCCAGGAAAGCCATCAGGACTGGCTCAGCTGTCTTTGGGGAGGAAAGTTCATCTCCCTCCTATGGGCCACGTCCATGCCTCCATCTCCCTGTGGTAACACCCCTGATCCTCAGGCCGGAGCTGCCTGGCAACCTGTCCTCTACCCTCCCTCCCAGCCCCGTCTACCCCATCCTCCTTGACCTTGACCTCTGCCTAGCTGTATATTCCCACGCCCTAGGCTTTGTCATCATCCACAAGACGCCATAGCTGAAAATTAGATAAACCCCTGACTACCCAGAAGCTCTGGTGGCCTAGTGGATCAAGAGTTGTGCTGCCAACCCAAAGGTGAGCAGTTCAAACCCACCAACAGCTCTCTGAGAAAAAGGCAACTTCCTCCCATCCATTTACTGCCCGTGAAAGGGTCATTCATAGGCCGCTTCCAATTGATGGTTCACAACAACCACCCAATCTTAATGCCACAAATACCACAACCACTCTGATATTCTCATTTTCTCTCTCTCTGTCTCAAACTCCTATCATGCTGAATTCCCAGGACCTTTGCTGCTTTCCTAACATCCCCGCCCTGCCTCACATCAGGGCACTTATGTCATTACCACCAGTGATAGCCGTTAACCCCTAAGAGAGCTGCTTGCTAGGGGGTGTGGGGACGGTCCCACCTGCTCTTCCTACAACTTAACTCTTTGGGGAACTCCAATTTAAAGACGATGGAACAGTAATCTGACTCCAGCCTGGGCATAATCTGACCCAAGAAACTCAGCCCCAGCGTGCTCCTAACACGGTCCTCTAACACCTGGTTTCTGGTGAGTCCTCCAGTATTCTAAACTCTCTGAGGGCAAGGGATTCTCCAAAATGCTTGGTGCACAGTGGCTATGTCGATGTTGAGAGAATGAAGTGTGTCTATTCAATTTCACTTTAAAACAGAGATAAGTCAGGGAGCTCTGGCGGCCTAGAGACAAGAAGCTGCACTGCAATCCCAGAGGTACATGGTTCAAATCCACCAGACGCTCTGCTGTAGAAGGAGGGGCAATCTCCTCCTGTACCAGTCAGATCAGATTTGATGGTACACACACACACAAAAAAAAAATTAAATTAAAAAATATAGAGCTAGGTCATATCACTCCTCCACTTAAAACCTCCAGCATCACCAAATAAAATTCTAAAGCCTCAGGACAACATGCCAAATGCTTCAAGTCATGGTCTTAGCCTTTATTGGTCTTCTCCTCACAGGGTCTCAGCCACCTCACCTCCCTGCTTCCAGTCAAACACACCAAGGACTGACGCCAATTCAGAGCCTCCATACAGGCCAGTCCCACTGTCTGGGACATCTTCCTCCCAGTGTCCATGCCTGCCTTCCCTCTGACATCTCTATTCACATGCTACTCGACCAGAGGCCCTTTCTGACCCTTCTATCCAAAAGGGGACATGATTATCATAGTTGAAAGGAGCCCTGGTGGCTCAGTGGTCAAGGAGTTGTGCTACCAAACCAAAGATACGCAGTTCGAGCTGCTCTATTAAAGAAAGATAGGCAGTCTCCCTCCATGCAATGTACAGCCAGCCTCTGAAAACCTGCTGGGGAGTCAGATTTGACTTGGCTCCTACTCAAATGTACGTGACAATGAGATCAGTTGTTGTTGTTGTTGTTGTTGTTGTTAGCTCCTGTCAGGTCAACTATGATTCACAGCGACTCTGTGAACAACAGATCTGAACCCTGTCCTGTCCTGTGCCATCCGCACAATCTCTGACCCCCTCAAGAACATTGTTGCAGCCACTGTGTCAATCCACATGGTTGAGGGCCTTCTTCTCCTTCACTGTCCCTCCACCTTTCCAAGCATGATGTCCATCTCCAAGGAATGACCTCTCCTAGCAACATGCCCAAAGTATGTGAGATGAAGCTTCATCATCTTTGCCTCCAAGGAGCATTCTGGCTGCATTTTTTTTTCTCCAAGACTTATCTGTTCTTTCGAAAGCCTATGGGATTGTCAGCCCTCTTCTCCAACACCACAGTTCAAAGGCATCAATTCTTCTGTCATCCTTAGTCACCATCCAGCTCTCAGATGTACAGCAAGTGACTGAAAAGACAATGGCCTGAATCAGGGGCACCTTAAACTGACATCATTGTTGTTGTTATGTGCCGTTGAGTCACCTGTGACTCACAGTGACCCTAAGTACAACAGCTCTGAACCCTGCTCTATCCTGAGCCAACCTCACTGTCTCTGACACACCTCCCCCATTACCTCCGTCACTGAGTTAGTCCGTTTCATTCAGAGTCTTCCTCTCTGTGCTGTCCCTCCACCGCTGTTCCTCAGTAATTCAGAGAGGTCCCCAACTATAGACTTTCCCAGTGCAATACACCTCCTGATCTCCTGGCCTGCTGGTATTGACCAAGGGTATTCACTGTGGATCCAAGTAAGAAGAAGTCACTGTCTTAATCTTTTTTCCCACTGATCATGATGTTGCCTCTGGGTCCAGTGGCAAGGCTTTTTGCTTGCTTTACATTGAAATGCAAACCATATTGAAGGCTGCAGTCTTTGATCTCCTGCAGCAAGTGTTTCAAGACCTCCTCATGTTTAACAAGCAAGGTTGTGTCTTCTGCATGATGAAGGTTACTGATGGTCTTCCTGCAATCCTGATGCCACATTCTTCTTCAGAGAGTGCAGCTTCTCGAATAACTCCTTTCACACCACAGTTGATGCCTTTCTTCCTAGCAATTATCATCACTTACTTCCCAATAACAACCATATACTTAAGGGAGCTCTGGTGGCATGATGCAGGCAGTTACACCGTTCAGCAATAAGCTGTTTCTCTAGCAGTTCAAACCCACCAGTAACTCTGCAGATGAAAGATGGGCAATCTCTCCCTGTGCGATTTACAGCCTCCAAAAACCCACTGGAGGGTCAGCCATGAGTCGGTTCTGACTGGATGGTACGTAACAACGCTGGCCTCTAAAGTCACTAAAATTGGAATCGATGGCACACAACCACCATCATAACGTCTCTCCCTGTCTTACATCCAAATGTAAATTCCAAAAGAAAAGAACGCCAACAAATTTGCTGCCACACGGGAAACGTGCTCAAAAAAACGTGTGTTACATAACTTGGGACAGACTGCAGAGCGTTATGCCGAGTGAACTAAGTCAGTCGAACTAAGTCAGTCTAATAAGGACAAATACTGCATAAGACTATTCTTGCAAAAACAGACGGATAACTATTAAAACGTGAATGGGGACCCAAGGAGTAGGCGTGGAGGGGTGAGGATGGGTAGGGGGGAAAAAACCACTGGTTGCACAGTTTGGTGGATGGAGGGAGGAGGGTAAAGGAAATGACAAGGATCTGGGTGAAAAGACAGGACAAGATCCAATGGTGATTAATTTTATAAAACATACTGATGAGAATGATTGTATGAAACAGAGGAGGAATGAAGAATAGTGTGAAACACGATGTACATGAACTTTGCCAATATGGATTGAGGCTCAATGTCAAGAAGACAAAGATTCTCACCACTGGACCAATTGGCAGCATCAGGATGGATGGTGAAGAGATTGAGATTGTTCACAGTTTTAGTTTGCTTGGCTCCACAGTCAACACTCTTGGCACCAGTAGCCAGGAAATTAAAAGGTGCATTGCCATGGGAAAGTCTGCTGTTAGTGACCTCTCCAAAGTACTGAAGAGCAATGGTGTCTCTCTGGAGACTAAGGTGCGTTTAATACAGGCCATGGTCTTCTCAATCACTTGTTATGCATCAGAGAATTGGACAATGACCAAGGAGGACAGAAGGAGAATTGATGCCTTTGAGCTGTGGTGCTGGAGAAGAGTATTGAGAATACCATGGACTGCTAGGAAAACAAACAGATTTGTCCTGGAAAGGGTTAAACCGGGTGGCTCCTTGGAGGCAAGGATTCTGAGGCTCCGTCTAACATACTTTGGACATGTTGTGAGGAAAGACCAGTCCTTGGAGAAGGACATCATGCTTGGTTGGGTGGAGGGACAGCACAGGAGGGGAAGGCCCTCTGTGAGGTGGATTGATTCAGTGACTGGGATAATCAGGATGGGAGTGTCAGAGACAGTGCGAGTGGCACAGGATAGAGCAGAGTTTAGGGCTGTTGTACACAGGGTCGCTATGAGTCGCAAGCGACTTGATGGCACATAACAACAACAACAACAATAATAATAAAGAACACTTGTGTTGCTGAATGGCAAGTTGGAATGCTCACGCTGTGTCCATTCTGCTTCCATGAGCTGGCCTTCCCACCCCACTCCCACCATCTCCTTTCTCAACCTCTCTTTGCCTTCCTTCCTCTTGGCAAATCTTTCGGATGGATGCTACCTTCTGTTCAGTGTCTTGTCAAGAAAGACACGTCCATCCACAGGCACGGAAACCCGCCACCACCAGGCCTTAAAATCAGCCCATCTTCCTACTCAAAAGCCCCTGCTTTGGCCCTCCCACCTAACAGCAGAGACCTTTCAACAGCCAGGCACCACACTGGTCTTGCCTGTCTACACCACCCTGGATCCACGGCTTTTTACAGAGAAAGGGGGTCCTTCCCACTGAGACATACCCACCCTGTTCTCATCTCCGGATGTCAGAGGGAGGTCTTTCTGATAAAAGCTAAACCCCAAATGCCCAATTGTCTGGCCCCTTCCTCTCGAGGAAACCTACCGTCTCCACTTCCCCAAGACTGTGTGTCCAGACTTCCCTGGAGGGGCACCGATGAGGGGGTCTCAACCTCAGTCCAGGGATATTGTCGGGTCCCTCCCCTGGCCCCTCCACAGGCTGCCTCGCACCGGCCCTCGACGACCCCAGGTCTTTTTCGACCCACGATGGGTGGACACAGTGAAGTGAGGCTTCACTTGGTCCTGCTGTGACCTCCTGAGCTGTAAGATCTCCGGATCCCAGGCGTCCCCGAGTGTCCCCAGCTCCCGCCCAGCAGACAGCAAGCGATCCTAAGTGCCTCCGAGGCGCACACAATGTGCCAGCTCGAAGGGACGTGCCCTTCCCCGGGCAGCCCGACCAGGAAACACTCCCACATCCTGCAACAGCTGCGATCGCGGCCGCAGACGGGCCGAGGGGACACGAGTGACCCAACGGGGCACCGCCCACCACCCTCTGGCCCGAACCCCTCGGCTGCCTGGGGTCCCTCGCCCAGGGCCGCCACGCCGAGGTCCCCGGAGCCGCAGGGGCTACTCACGCCGTGCAGGTGGAAGCCCTCGGAGCCGCCCGCGGGCTCCTCCACGCTGGCCCCCAGGCCCATGGCCCCCGCTCGGCTCCCGCCCCGCGTCCCGTCGGGCGGATCGGACCCCACAGGCCCAGCCCGGCAGCGCCCGCGCAGACTCGCGCTCTCTGGGCTCGATTACCAGCGCCTGGTCACGTGGGCGGCCTGGCCACGCCCTCCACTAACACCATCGCTTAGCAACGGGCGGCGTTGCTAAGGACGCGCGCCGCCAACTTCCGGCCAGGAGCGGCATGCCGGCGAGACGAGCCGGAATCGGGCCCCGCGCGGAGGTTGCTGCCCCGGGCTCGGAGCCGCCGTCGCCCCGAGATGAGCAGCAGTCGTTCCTTCCTTCTGGTGCGTGGACACCGCGCTGCTGGCCGCCCCCTCCGGACTCTCCTCCCCTGACCCCGGGTCCCCGGGCTGGGACCTCTCCGGTCACCTTTGGGACGGCTCCTGCAGTCCGCTTTGCTCGCCTTTCTCTGTCATCGGCCGCTGCAGGCAGTCCGCGCCCTTTCTCGCCTCCTTCCCTGCGCGGGCCTCCTCTCCCGGTGCACACCGAGCCACAAACCCCTCACCCTGTCCGCCCTCCCGAGCTCTGCAGAACCAGCGCGTCCCAAACCTCTTTCCAGGATCTCCTGCGTCTCCAGCTTCACCTTTTATCCTCCAAGCTTATCTCCTACCACTTCTCTCATCCGCCTCCCACTCCTCTCCATGTGCAAGAAATGTCACTTCTTATCTCTTCCCTAAGTAAGAGCCTACAACAGGCTGGATCTTGTCTAGTTTCTCTATTCCAATCAGTTCGTTCTCTCTCTCTCTCTCTCTCTCTCTCTGGATCTTGTCTAGTTTCTTTCCAGTCAGTTCGTTCTCTCTCTCTCTCCCGCCCTTTCTCTCTCTCTCTCTCTCTCACACACACACACACACACACACACTCACATCAACAGCAGCCAGAGAAATTTTCCTAGAAACACACATTTGATTTGATCGCATATCGCCCTGGCTTAACACCTCTCTAATCCAGTAGTGACACTAGGATCGGTGTCACCCAGTGTAATCACTTATGTTGTCAGGCTTCCCCTCTCCCTTAGACCACCTCCCATACCAGATAATACAGAATTCTAACCAATGGGGGGTTTTTTTATCAATGGTAAGCATGCAATAACATATGATACAGTTGCAAACTACTTCAACATGTATTAGTTCATTGATGTATGAATACTAGCATCCAAATTGTTTTGCAAAATGGGTCTACATCAGGTACTGCAAAATTGTTCTACAACAATTATTTGCTACACTATCGGTCACAGAGCTTTGTATTTCTTTTTTTTTTTAATTATTTTTGTGTGAGTGTACTGTCAAATCAGATCTGACTGGTACAGGAGGAGATTGTCCCTCCTTTCCCGGCAGAGCATCTGGTGGATTTTGTCCCTCCTTTCCCGGCAGAGCATCTGGTGGATTTGAACCGTGCACCTCTGGGATTGTAGTTGCAGTTCCTTGCCACTAGGCCACCAGAGCTCCCCTTGTTTCCTTTTTTCTTAACAAGAGCTGTCAACCACAGCATGGTAGTTGAAACATAAGAAAAATTTGACATAAAAAAAATACAGCAACTATGAAAACACCAGCAGCAACAATGGAAATCAAATCATCAGTGTAATTGTGTAAATGAAGTCAGCTTTGACTGTAGGCACTTGACCCTTCAAAACATAAATTAGCATAGAATTTTAGCCTTAGCGGTATATTGATAACATGTAGCCTAGATTTATGGAAAAAATGCTTCTAATGTAACTAACCACCCAGGCATTTTTGTTAGAATAATGCATTGCCGTTGAAACACTGTACACACATTTTATAGACAGGTCATTTTAGCGCCACCCTCACTGACATGTCACCTAATGTAATCCATACCTCCTTACCCACCTAGTGATGCCATAGGTCCCAGCTGCTTCCCATAACCCTCAGGAGGCGATCTGAGTTCTTTCACATGGGCCACAATATGGCCAATCTCTCCCGGACCTCAGCACCCACAAACCTTGGAGGAAGTACGACTTGGCTCACTGAAATCTCCGCCCCATCAGTGCATGACCTTTGTCAGGTTGTAATCGCCATGGGCCTCAACTTCCTCATCTGTGAGAGATGCAGAGAGGAAACTGCCTCAGAGAATGGATTGAAAGACCTGGGTATGGTTCCCAGCAGTGGGCAAGCATGCTTGTAATCAAACACTGGTGTGAGTTTTCTTATGACTGGTTCCTTCCTCTTTTCCCTTGTTCCTTTTCCAACAGGCCAAGCCTGAGCTGAATCCCCCAACATATTTGAGCCTGAATGTGCTGATGATTCCAAAACAATTTCCAACTGCTGCTTCTCAGGGAAGCTGCATGGAGTAGCTCTCAGCTCATTCCAGGGATGAGGCTGGATGTTCTGACTCTTCCTTCTGCAGAGCTGAAGAGGAAGGGAGAGGGGAGGGAGCCAGTCTGACCCTGTCTGGGTGAGAGCAGAGACAAGGGAGAACTGGGGCTATCGTGTCTTCTTCCACACAGGCTGAAATCATTTATTACGGCCAGGAAAATTACTTCCACCATGCACAGCATGCTGCAGCCGTCGGCCTGGAGAAATTCGGCAATGAACCTGTGTTTCAGTTCCTTAAAGCCTATGGAATCCTCAAAGAAGGTAAGGACTTGGCCTTGTTAGTTCCTGGTCTCAGGTGCTAGCCTAGTGCTCACAGTCAGTCCTTGAGTGCCTGTAGTTGTTGTTGTTGTTGTTAGATGATATGAAGTAGGCCCCAGATGCCCACTCATGCCTCACTGATGTTTCCATAGAAACAAGGCCTTGTACTTCACTGGGTAGCTTCTCCTCGGAGCCTATGCAATCCACCTCCACAGAGCGCACCACCTCTGCTCTGTGCCTCAGTTTTCCCATCTGTAAAATGAGTGGGTAGAGAGAGGATGTGTGACTATTTGACTCATCCCAGGCTTGGAACTGGAAGCTCCAGTTTGGAAGGAGTGCAGGAGAAATGATAGGCAGTGGAGGTGTGGGTGTTGGGCAGGTGTGAGAGAGAGAGAAGCTGGGCCATGCAGTGCTGCCTCTAGGGGTCGGGGCCGGGGACCAGCTGAACTGCCCACGGCCAGTGTCCATGCGTATGGTGTGATGCATGTCATCCAAGGGGCTCCTGAGTGACTGGGGGTGCCCTGAGGTGCCTTCTTCAGAACTGACCCCCAGCCTGTAATCCCTGCCTGGCATTTGTGCCGCATCTCTCAGCTCCAGGCCTTCCAGGTGCAGGATGCCTGGCCGTGGCACCAGCAGCCTGTCCGGGAGCTTCAGCCGTCCATGTACTCAGGCACCGGGCATGCCCTTCCTCTCTCTCTAAGAGGACCTTCCCACAGCTCAGTCCTCTGACTTTGGGTGGAGGCGGGAGAGGGGCAGACGGGCGGCGCCAGGTCCTGAGCCAGCCCTGAGCAGGTCTCCCCTGTGACTGTCTCAGTGTCCCGTGCCCTACCGTCCTGAAGCAAGTCTGTGAGTGGCTGTCTTCACAGGGCGCGTCCAGGATGCCATCAACGACCTGGAGAGCATCCGAAACCACCCAGACATGTCCCTGGGTGCCATTGTGGCCCTCATTTATACTCTCAAGCGGTGTGAAATCATCGGTGAGTGCAACCCTGCTCACCTGGGCCAGAGCCAGGAGGGGAAGCGCCCGCTGCCTTCCCCAGAGACACAGCTCCCCACGGCTACAGTGTTTGCCAGTGTCTGTGCGGAGGCTGCTACCCAGTGAAGTCTGACCACCGTCCTCTTTAAAAGCCTCAAGGAAGATGCCCAAGGGCACACTGGTGAATGGAAGCCACAGACAGAGGCCATGGCAGTACAGGGGGTGCCTCCTTACACATCCAAGACTCAGGGAGACACCTTTCTCTCATGCTGCCAAATTTAAAAACAAAACCGACACAAAACACCTTGAGAAAATTAAGCCACTGTCAATAATTCTACTCATAATCTCCGTTCCAACAGAGATTAGAAATCACTGGCCTTGTGGCTGTGGCTGGGTCTGACCTGGTGAGGGGGGTTTCAAGTGCTAAGTGCACAAATGAACTCAGAGGAAAGGCGGCAAAACTCCAGCAGCAAGCAGCAGGCCCAGTGTGGCTCATTCCTAAGCCTTGGCTGCATGTAGCCTGCTATCCGGGATGAAGGAAGCCTGGTGGGTGCCCCTGATAGCTCTCTGAGGCCTTGGCATCCCTGCAACACCAACACAGCTGTTCACCTAACTCAGCCTCTTCTTCCTCCCCCCCTTGGGTCCCCAGACCGAGAAGCTGTGGAGGAACTCGAAGGCGACCTGAAGGGTGTCCGCAAGGACGCTGACGGGACCACATTGTACTACGCAGGCCTCTTCCTCTGGCTCATGGGCCAGCAGGAAAAAGCCAGGGACTACGTCGACCGTGCACTCAGAGTCTCCAGTGGCTACAGAGAGGTACCCGCCGTGGCCTTCGGGGGAGGAGGGCAACACTTGTGAGACACGTGGCCACATACAACGTGGTAAAGTGGCCTGCTGCTCTGGTGGTGAGAAGCTGTGCTGCAATCCCAAAGCACACAGTTCAAGACCACCAGCAGCTCTGGGGGAGAGGGATGGACAGTCTCCTCCCCTGGAATTAACTGCCTCAGAAAACCTACTAGGAGGGAGCTCTGGTGGCCTAGTGGCAAGAAGCTGCACTGCAATCCCAGCGGCTCGCGGTTTCAATCCACCAGCTACTCTGCTGAAGAAGGAGGGACAATCTTCTCCTGTACCAGTCAGATCCGATTTGACAGTACACACACACACAAATAATACAAAATTATTTTTAAAAATAGTAGAGGTTTCCAGGGGGCAGAGGTCAGAGATGGCGCATTTGACTGGCGAGTGGTGTTTTCCCACGTCCCCTTCCAATGGCTTCTCCATCTCCTGGGAGTGGCCGGCAAAGGGCCAGCAGGCTGACAGTGGCTCCCCAGCACTCACCCAGGACACACTGAGTGGGTTTGCGTGCAGACCAAGGTGGGTCGAAGACATGCGGAGAACCAGGAGTAGCCTCTGCCCAGTGTCCTTCCATGAGGGGTGAAGGAGGCAGGGATATAAGCAGACAGTTGCAATATGGGGAGAGGGTCTCCATGGGGCTAACAGATGAGAGTTGAAGAGGGCTCAGGGAAGAGGCCTTCCTGGAGAAAGAACCTCCAAGACTGAGTTTTCAAGACTAAGTTAATTGGAAGTTTGATGGCCTGGTGGTAAGGAGTTGCTCTGCCAATCCAAAGGTAAACATTTTGAGTCCATCAGCTGCCCCACGAGAGAGAGAGATGGGCAACCTGCTCCAATGTGATTACAGCCTCTGGGAACCCACTGGAGGCTCAGCTCCGAGTTGGTTCTGACTCAGTGACACACAGCAACAACAGTGGATAATCAGAGAAAGGAATTTGGTGGCGAAGGAGGCAGGAATGGCTCCCTGCCCATTAAACAGTGGGTGGTGGTTGTTGTGTACCGTAGAGTCGGAACCAACCCATAGCTGACCGTCCAGCAGGTTTTCAGGGGCAGTTAATCGCACAGGAGGAGATTGCCCATCCTTCTCCTGCAGAGCAGCTGGTGGTCTTGAACTGTGTGCCTTTGGGATTGTAGCGTAGCTTCTTGCCACTAGGCCAACAGTGGGTAGGAAACTGGCAATGAGAGAGCCTGGCTGCTTACCCGAGGCGGTGTCTGGCCAGGAGTTCAGGGTGGAGGTGGCGAGGGCTAAGGCTTGAGACAGGAAGCGCCAGCTGGGCCAAGGCTGTCCTGGGCTGACTCTTGACTTTCCATATTTTCCTCCCAGGCCTATGTTCTCAGAGGCTGGATAGACCTAACCTCAGACAAGCCCTACACCGTGAAGAAATCCATCAAGTACCTGGACCTAGGAATTCAGGACACCAAAGATGTGCTGGGAATGATGGGAAAGGTGGGTCATCAATGGGGAGAGGAAGAGTCGGAGTGTCCCTAGCTGGGTGACCAGAGCCACAGACCCACCCAGTGACCTCAGACCAGACCCTCAGGCTTCAAGTCCATGAGAGGAGAAATAAGGAGCAGAGGAGGCCCAGAGAGGGTCAGTGACTGGCCCAGGAGCACACAGCAGCCCAAGCCCCACACCTTTCACCGCATTCCTTCCTGCTTGGCCTGAGTCTCTTGTTCTGTGCGGTCATTTCAGGGCCTCCTTGAGGTCCATTCTCCTGGACGCCACCAGGTTCTCTCAGCTTTGCTCACTGACCCTCTTCTCTGCGGCCTTCTCTCACCTGCTTCATCTCATTCTTCTCTCCCATCTGTTAAATTCACTTAGTGTATAAAAAGCTATGTTAGTGTAAGGATGGCCGTATCTGACCTCTGTTAATGCTACAAGGGGGAGCTGCCCTCATCAACAGCATCCCCAGAACAAAACTAATTCCCCTAAGATGATACATGCCCCCCACACACACGCCTTGTTGTTATGTGCCTACTGTCTACTAGTCCAGGCACCAAGTCTACTGCCCTGCCTAGTCCGAAATCCATTGCAGTCGCTACACAGACTTCACAGAAACATGCTCCCAGTTACGGGATTTATTGGGAAAGTTAACAGGCTAAGTTGGCAGCAGGATACAATCCTTCAGTCCACACAGCCTCCCCAGCGGGGTCGCAGGCCCTTTGACCTTCAGCCGAATGGCCTAGGTCAGTGTCACAGTATTCCCCAAGTCCTGCCAGTTACGGTGTCTTCCCTCTGTTCTTCAGCATCCTTGAGTGACTCAGCTCTGTCTCAGTTTGGTCTCTGGTCGTCTGTTTTTGTTTGTTTGTTTTTGTTTTTTCTCTATAAACTCTTTTTTATTTTTATTTTTTTTGTAATTTTTTTTACTTTAATAATTTTAATGAACATTTACAGAGATTTTGGATTT